ACTTTATCGATCTACATACAAAAGAGTTCATATATCATCAATGTTTTCGCTTTACTAGATTCTAATAGTGCTGCTGATAGTTCATTTAAATGCAGATTTAGCATGTTGAATATACATATACACTACTAAGCAAGATGTTTGTGCTTAACAATACAGTAATATTGTGAAATATTATTACAATGTAAATCAGCTGTTTTCTATGTCAATATATAAAGTGTAATTTATTCCATCATGTCTTTTTCACTCAAATTCAAATGAGCTTTATTACCATGACTTATACAGCATTGCCAAAGCATTGGCCATTACATAGGCAATGAACAAATTATCAATAAATTAATCAGTAAACAGATGCATGAATACATTTATAAATCAAAATGACACAAAATAAACACAAAAATAACACTATCTCTCTCTCTAACCCCATCATGTCTCTCTCTCCCTCTCTCTCTCTCTCTAACCCCATCATGTCTTTTTAAATCTCTCTCTCTCTCTCTCTCTCGCCTCGGGCTGTTTGACAGGTTGATGTGAAGAGATGTAAATGCATTTCAAACTGTTTCTGAGATGCAATGCCTCACGTTTGCTGTGTGACGAGCGGTGTTCAGCGATAATGAAACCGTGTTTTCAGTCCTAATTCCCGATCCGCTGACAGTCTCCATCAGTGAACCGACACAAATGGGCAAAAACCTAAACAAGACATAATAAAAAGACATAATAGATGTGTTATTTTCTGAAACCTGCACACACTCATCTGAGCCTCTAAAACAATAATCCATCAAAACACGTGAGAGAATATGAATGATTCCTCTGAATGACATCATCAGATGTTAATGTATTGAGGCTGCTGTTTTAGGAGTTAACATCATGGACTGATAAAACTATTTAAAAAAAGTTTTATAATGATTTTTATGAGTTGGAATGTTTGTACTCTTATAAAACCATTCATCGACATGAATATGTGACGTATTTTCACCTAAATTCTTCTATCAATTAAAAATAAAACGCTTCTAGTCAACGGCTTAATAACCACAAACAACCTGGACACGTGTTCATAAAGATGACTCTTAATTTTGATTGTAAAACTGTTACGTAGGAGTATTAGCTTAAAGGAGTAGTTCACTCTTGAAAAAAACTTTTGCTGATAATTTACTCACCCCCATGTCATCCAAGATGTCCATGTCTTTAAAGAAATGAAGGTTTTTGATGAAAACATTCCAGGATTTTCTCCATATAATGGACTTCAATGGGAACCAAACAGTTCAAGGTCCAAAAGACAGTTTCAGTGCAAACTACAAACTGTTCAAAGGGCTTTAAACGACACCTAACAATGAATAAGGGTCTTATCAAGCGAAACGATCGCTCATTTAATAAATAAATAACAAAGTTTAAGTTTTATAAGCTCAAATGGTCGCCTTGCTCTGTTCTGTGATGCGCGTTCGTGACTCTCCTGTTCGAACTCGTTCATCAAAATGAACGAATCTTTTTTTAGTCATTTGGTAGATTCAACGAACGAAATGAATGAATTGACTCGGAAAAAGATTCGTAAAAGAAACTGCATCAGTGTGAAAATGGGATGTTGTTTTCCCCGTACGGCTGCTTTATTAAAGTCATGTAGTTTCAAATCCAGATCTGAACCACAGAAAAGAGCATCAGTGTCACATTAGTCTTTAACTCACGTGATGTGATTCGTGAATCACAGGCCCGTTTCTGTTCATCCGTTTCATTTTCCCAAAAAATCAACACCAATGTTTCTCATTCCATATGAGATGTGATGTCTCTCTCTCTCTCTCTCTCTCTCTCTCTCTCTCTCTCTCTCTCTCTCTCTCTCTCTCTCTCTCTCTCTCTCTCACACTCACTCTCTCACTCATCTGGACCGACTGACCACGAAACTGCCATGTGAAGAGGGGTCTGTATCTTGGCAACGCACCTAGCAACCACTTCTCGTAACCATGGATTATAACCTGTTGCCAAGGGAGACCGAGTTGGAGGATTGATTTTCAAGGATGAAATTGACAAGAGAAAAGAACTTACAAGAGAATTAGACTAAGTAATAAAGACGAGTAGCACTGAAAAAAAATGGTGAAGGATTTACAAATTTAATAAAAAATAAATTTACGTCATACCTGCAGCAGTCTATAGCGCCCTCTATGGTATTACAGTAAAAAAGCATGGAAAGCTGGAAACTTCAGTCAATGTATTTATATCTTGACTTCTGTCAATACAATGGTAAAGATCCACACACTCTTCTATTAATCCCCATAAACAGTAGTATCTCATACTACAGTAGAGAATTTTGTTTGTAAAATTAAATAAATGCGCTTATTTGTGCACATGTGATCTGCTCAGACTTCCGCCCGTTTCGCGCGTGTTGATGTGAACAGTGATGCAACGGCGCCACCGTCTGGACAGGAGTGGAAACACAGCAAAAAGCCTCGATCAGATGAGCTTCATTTCTTCATAAACATCAGAGGAGAGGGTGAAACGGATCCACAGAGTCGAACCAGTGAGTCCTTTCTCAATCTCTGAGCTTTTAGAGCAGTGTGTGTGTTTGTTATGAAAGACAGCTATTGGGTGTTTTAGGTTTCGCGCATGTTGTTCAGTTTTGTGACCACGTGGTGCCAGCAGAATCCACCGAATCATCTCTGGTTTTCTCACAACGTGTGATTGTGATTAATAAGTCAATGATCAATACAAAGACTCGTTGTAGAAATACATCAGATCTAAAAGTGAATAAGAAAAGAGGTAATAAGAGCCGGTGTTCTGTCGATTTTTGCTGCCTTGTCGAAAAAATGCTACCGTAGCGCGAATTGATCACAGAATGCCGATTAAAGTCGTATGAAATACAATTCTAATACAATTCTAAGTTATGAGTAGCTACTGTATACTATAGACTACTGTTTTTATTTTTAAAACGGTGTGAAAAGTAAAAATTATCATAAAATATTCATCTTTGACTTGTCAAAGTACACCGTAACTGAAACTTTCAGTTATTCCTTTTCAGCTGGCTGACCGTACAAATATTCATATGGTAGTAAGCATTTTTTAAAGGGGAATTATACATTATAACAGGAAAATGTACCTTTTGTAAAAAAAAAAAAAAAAAAAAAAAACTGTGAGTCTGCACATGCGCATAACCGGTAAGTAGGAACTCTCAATGGGTAGCATGAATTGTCAGAACGCCTGTTGTAATGCACTTTTAGGAGATTTTTGTTTTGTTAAACAGATTTATAACTGATATTTATTATGATCTTGACTTTAATGATCAAAGTTTCCTTTATGGTTCCTAAAATCATTTGTTTACAGGCACAACAGAACTCGTGTGTTTCTTTTATATGAAAACCAAACAGAATTTTGAAATAAAAAAGGGTAATAGCTACTTTTTACCTCACAATATTCTTGCAATTGAAAGTTTGTATCTCATAAATCTTACTTTTCTTCTCTGAATTCTGAGATATAAACTCAAACTCGAATTGTCCGATTAAAAAGTCCCAATTTTTAATTCTGCATTATTATAGTATGTGCTAAACAGAAAAAATAAAAATGCATAATGCAATAAAATAGCAGCTCAAGCCCATCCACTCTCTATAACTGTATATTCTGAACGCATTTCAGTTTTATACAATAAAATTCAGTTTCTAAACCCTGCCTTGGACTGAGACGGATGAGAGGAGTTTGAGATGAACACTCCTCATGTATCAACTAACACCATCCTGTATGCATGCAAATGAGTGTTTATTTATTAAGATATGCGTGTTTATTATTCAGTTGAACAGATCTTGCCGGAGTTCAGTCGTGTCCAAACCCCGCCCCTCATCTGAAGCCTCATTTGAATAATTGGTGCTAATTGCTCACTTATGTGGAGAGGATCTGGCAGCCTCAGACCGCTGATGAACTACACGTCTCTGGTGCCATTAACTCACTAAACATCTCAACTCAAGTATCTGTACACACACACACACACACACACTGACATCACATGCTGTGTTCTGGGAGAGACTGACATTAAACTCAGTGAGCTTTAATGTTCGTCTGCCAACTGCAGGATCAGTCCAGTGTGTGTGTGTGTGTTTGCGCTCTGGATTGCAGTGTAAACGCAGATCTGTGTGTGTAACATCTGGAGGAGAGTCTGCTGTCGCTCGTCCATCATCTGATCTGTGCTCGTGTTCAGGCTCACTGTCCTGTGCTGATGGATTTTATTTGATTGCTCCTCTAATTGAGATGTCAGACGCAGCCGTGTGTGTGTGTGCATTAGCTGGCGTGTGTGTTAACCGTTATTTATGACCGTCATTAGGATGTTAAAGCGTCGTCCGTCCATGTTTCCCGCTCGTTCAGTGAAGCCTCATCACTTCATCTCTGTCATGATCGATTTTATAGATTTTCGGTAAATAATGTGGACGTGCAGGAGGCCCACACACTCCAGACGGGTGATCCTTACATTTCTCTTATTCCTGAAATTCATTGTCTTGCTTTTTGATGATTTGATTTCCTTTTAACTCCACTTAAAGTCCCCTTGTGGTGAAACTCAAGCTGTTTATGTGTGTATGTGGTGTTTACAATGTGCACATAAGTTGATAAGTGGACTGAGTATTTCCTCCTTAAAACTGCAGTGAACCAAAGACAGTCTCAAAAACAGTGTTTCTGACGTCACAAACCACCTCGTAACCAATCAGATCAACGTGTGATCATCAACCAGTGAGTGAGTGAGTGGAGGCGGGGCTCATTTGCATATACATAAAACTGCGCATACTAAATTAGGGTGTCGGGTTACATTCGGGATATTATGGAATGACGTTTTTTTTTTTTTTTTTTTTTTTTTTTTTTTTGAAGGAAGAAACGTTTAAATATGTAATTTGGTGATGAAAGGTTTTAAGGGATACAATCATCGACTACAGGGCGACTTTAACAGTGGAAATGTAATAACTGAGATCTACTTAGTGACTCAAAAATGACCAGCAAGCACTAGATATTACTATGCTTTTTAGGAAATCATGATAATGTGCTTGAGATTTAGAAACGCACCATTGAAATTTCTTAGTTTTTGGACATTGAAGCACCTCTGAATACCGAGCCCGATCTCATGAAAGTTCGTATTTATAGCACGAATGTTATTTCTCCTGCCATTTATACGCCAAAAACAGTTTTTGCGTGTATATGGTACGCATTTTTCGTGTGCATATGATACGCACTTTTTGGCATATAAACCCCCCCCCCCCCCTAAACCTACCCCAGGATTTTTTTAGTGCATAGCATATGCACGCAAAAACCATTTTTGGCGTATAAATGGCATGAGAAATGACATTCGTGGTATAGATACGCATTTTCATGAGACTGTGTTGGTATTACAGCTAAAAGCTAAAAAATGTGCCATCCGATATTATGATTTACCACTATAGCCCTCAAACCGTATTCACTTTATAGCCCTTAATCCTGTAATTGTGGACAAATCTTATCTCATTTATTATAAATGTTATATCACTGTGTTCGATAAAGTTTTGTCTATCCATTTATGGTGTTTTTATTTATTTTGAATTTTTTTTTTTTTATTTCCTTCCAAAAGTACCGTATTTTCTATGTAAATTATGCTTATTTTTTTTATTTTTAATTAAATCATTCCAATAAGTTCTTGGAGCTAAAACCTAAAGATGAAGAGACTTTGCTGTCCTAGTGTCTTATCTTAGAATGCTCTAAATTACAGTTTTTTCCCATTAATTTCCCATTTTTGACCCAAATACAAGATTATCGTGTGTGTTCAACTCACATTGCATTGAAGTGCGTTGTATCAAAAATACGAGCCTCTGTTTACATTGAATGATTCGCTTTAATTTGCAAAAAATGACCAGCAAGCACCAGATATTACTATGCTTTTTTAGGAAATGAAATCATGATAATGTGCTTGAGATTTAGAAACGCACCATTGAAATTTCTTAGTTTTTGGACATTGAAGCACCTCTGAATACCACAGGATATTACAGCTAAAAAATGTGCCATCCGATATATTATGATTTACCACAATAGCCCTCAAACCGTATTCACTTTATAGCCCTTAATCCTGTAATTGTGGACAAATGTGGGCACAGAGGACTCAGGTGTGATCTTAATTTTTATTTATCTTCAATAAAGTTTTGTCTATCCATTTATGGTGTTTTTTTTTTATTTTGGGGGTATTTTTTAATTTATTTACTTCCAAAAGTACCGTATTTTCTATGTAAATTATGCTTATTTTTGTTTGATTTTTTGATTTTTTTTAACTACATTAAAAAATCATTCCTAAAACCTAAAGATGAAGAGACTTTGCTGTCACCTGGTGTCTTATTTCAGAATGCTCTAAATTACAGTTTTTCCCATTCATTTCTATGGATGCCCATTTTTGTCCCAAATACGAGATTATCGTGTGTGTTCAACTCACATTGCATTGAAGTGCATTGTATCAAAAATACGAGCCTCTGTTTACATTGAATGATTCGCTTTAATTTGCATCTGAGAAGTGTTTGAACAGCTCCAGGTCTTGGTCGTGTGGCTCTATTGTCCTGTACGTTATTGCAAATCATCCGCGCTCAAAAGATATTCACCTCCACTGTCTTGTTTTCCCTCTTTCTCTTCCTTTCATCTACTTATCTTTCCATCCCTTGGTCCATTTGCGGGTCTATTCAGGCCTGTCCAGGGTCTAATCACTTTCATCATGGTTTCTATTAGAGCGACTGAATACAGAGTAATTAAAGTGGAGAACAGGAGAGAGAGAGAGAGAGAGTCATCCGTGACAGACAGACTGAACAAAAGCGCTGACGAACGAGATGCTTCACAGGTCAGAGCGACAGAAACGGTGTGTGTGTGTGTGTGTGTGTGTGTGTGTGTGTGTGTCCGCAGTGTTCCTGAAGGCTTCTCGTCGGAGAGAAGTTTGAAACCCTCTGGCCTGCTGAAGTTTATCCATGAAAAGCATTTTCCTCTGATTTCTGGCCTCATGCACAGTTCAGTTCATTGAGTCATTGATTTACATTTCTGAAAGTTTTGATGCAATGATATATATATATATATATACAGATATACAATCAAACCAAAATGCATTCAGACACCTTTAATATTTATATATGAAGAGTTCAGATGCAAAAGCCTCTAAATGCCATTTGAAATTTTCTTCTTTAATGATGATTTTTATCAAACTTGTATATTTAAGTTCAGTAATTTCACTTAAATAACAATTAATAGGTAATTATCATTGCCATTAAAGTGAAATCACTGAACTTAAATATACAAGCTTGATAAAAATCATCATTCTAGAAGAAAATTTCAAATGGCACTTAGAGGCTTTTGCATCTGAACTCTTCATAGTATACGCATTGTCAAAAGCGTCAGTATACTGTATGGCACCCTAGGGTGAGCGCGCGTTGATTATTTTAGGAGACTGTATCTTTACATTCACAAACAGCTCTATCACATGCTGGATGAAAGATCATTTATTGAGAAATCATAATAGAGGCACTTTAAATGCGATAATATCAGCTGGAT